TCAATTCCTGGTGTACACGCTATCCCTACGAGCGGGTGAGTCGTGACACTGGAATAACCTTGTCGATCCTCTCTCTATCTCTAGAAAGGGTACCGGGGAGGCTTTACTCGGGGAAGGTGGATATATGGAGCCTAACCCTCCTGATGACACCCCTTCTTGTCCAAGTGGTTAGGACTGCTGACATTATCACCTGGTATCACTGGTCTGTGTGCTCGGTAAGGACCACTGGTCTGCGTCCTCCCAGGGCTACTGCTTTAGCCTTGGTGCAGGTGCCATCTCGTGGAGGTCCTCTCGCCCCTCGTCTGTTGCCCAGTCTAGCTGTGAGGCTGAGATATACGATGGTGCCATGGCGGCACAGGAGCTCTGCTGGCTGACCTTCTTGCTCACCGACCTAGGTGAGCGGCCTAGCACTGCCCCGATTCTGTACGCAGACAACAGGGCCATGATCGTCGTGTATCAGGAGCCGAGACTCGAGGGCACAGCAAAGCAGATCCAGCTACGCTACTTCCTCATGCGCAAGCTATAGCAGCGTCGCCAGGCCCGCGTAGTACACTTGGCCTCTAGTGTCAATACAGCTGATATCTTTACGAAGGCGCTTGCGCCTAAAGATCATGAGCGACATTGTGTACAGCTAGGTCTCGTTCCTGTAGCCTCTCACTTGCTAGGACCTTGATTGTGTACATACCTTTATATATATTACCCAATCTTGCCTTGTGGCCTCTTTCCAGTGGCTGGACTAGTAGTGCCGCCCTGGTCTTGCTCTTGTCTTGTTTGTACTCGTTTGACTGGTCTTTAGATCCTTGCCTCAGAGGTTGGACTAGTAGTGCCACCCTGAGCTGCTTGTCTCTCACTAGCACTACCCCTATCCAGTCTAGGGGGTGTGTCAAACATATCTTTGTATGTTGTTATATACTATGCAAGGTTGTGCCTTAGGGAGTACAACCCACTAGGTTATATTCCCTTGTATGTCATTGTACTAGTCATTCGTTAACGTTGATATGGACGTTCTTTGAAAACAACTGAATGTCACCTGCACAAACGATATTGTGCATTTACCCATAATTATGCAATGCGCGTGACGTTGACAGTCTTAAATAAGACCATGCGTGAGAGGGGGAGAGAGTCTAAGCAAATAGAATTTCCTTATTCAGATTTGGACTAGTAAAGCATACACCACATAACGGGGCTGACGCGCAGCTCTTCCACGAAAATGCATATCACGTCACCCAAATATGGCCCTCTGCCGAGCCGTAAGCATTTGTGCGTTGTGCATCTTCATGCCTGACATGCGCGCACTGCGCCAGTTTGCAATCACACGTCTCAGAGCCTTGACTGTGTGCTCCAGACCTAGCTATATCATAGCTCTTTGTTGTTTTGATGTGCTATATTGTAATTTTTTCTTTCCCTCTATGATGACATCTTCATATTCTCGTTGTTTGCGACCTATAACACGTTATGCGTTTTTACTTTACACAAAGTTCATGGACAACCTACAACTACCAATATTATTTTGTAGTTGTATCCATCCCATATAACTAGGTGCTTTAGATGTATTCCACTTGGTTCGGTCACTACAAACACACATTCTTACTTGCTGATTGGAAAAAATAAATGAGTTGGGCCAATGTATATCCTTCAATGTTGAAATTATGACAGGCTAGCATGGAAGGAAAGATAATAGTGTTCTTTTAGGGTAGTAGGGAGGAGTGTAGTAGAGTAGGTTGTTCATACACGAATGAAACTAGGCTAGTAGACGTTGAACCATTTATCAGCATCGCAAATTTCCCAGCATATCGCACGTCTTTCTAGCAATCTCGCGACTCTCCCAAACTCGTCGTGCATCGGAGAAGAGGGGGGCAAGTTTTGGTACTTGCTTTTGTGTTGCGGAGGTCTCGCCAGTTTGGGGTGAGACCCTCGGAACTTCCTGGCCAGTTGTTTGCGATTTCTTGGTAGGTCTTCATTGGTGGAATCTTGACACGGTGGACTGGATGCACGCGAGTTGCCCTGATTGGCGAGAGGTTCACAACACGTTTTCGCAAGGGGGGCAACCTGCCCTTTTTAGCTGGTCGTTGGAAATTCTTAATCAACACGATTGCGATAAGCCTAACCTTGAGGTGGGTACATCGCCACTGAACTGACTCTACATTTGTTTTTAAAAGGATGTATAAACAGCTTCATTATGTCATACATTATTGCACTTTGTATTACAACTTATTTCCGTCATTCGTCGAATTATTTTGTGCTAAATCGGAAAAATATTTGTTTTTAAGATTTGTTTACAAAGGTAATTCGACATGTGTTCTAAGTTGTTTGGAATGGTTTACATTGCAATAACGCATAACGGCGTTTCTAGATGACGCTATTTGTTATTGTAAGTGTTGTAGAGCTTTTCCTTGTTTTGTTGATTCTTTTTATGGCAACGTAATATGCTTGTTGTTGTATATAGTGACGACTTTTTGTTGTTGCATTATGCAGTGTTCTGTGCGTTTTATTTACAGTGCGCTGCCCGCCACAGCACAGCGCAACTTTGGTTGGCTCGCGCCGCCCAACAAGATCTGGCGCGAGAGGCATATCCAGCAGTTTGGGTCCTACTTCCCGGCCCGTCACGCAACGGCCAGCGTGTCAAGTCAGGGCTAGCGTGTCAGAGTCTGAGTGGCCCAATCATCGCATGGCGAAAAGTTTCGATCAACAGGGGGGAGCAGCCCAGTGATAGCTGTTGCTGCGACCAATTATAATCCTGCGTAACGTGGTGTTATTGGTTGAAATGAATAGTTAACCAGTATTGCAAAGCCACGTCGTATGGACCCATGATGGCATTTTTCTTTGCGAGCACTCGAATTCTCACCTTCTTCTCCAACCCCGTCTTGCTTCAGTGTAAGGGTCAAGCCTTCCTAAGCTGACTCTGGTACAAGGAAAGAGGCGTTTTAGGAAGCTGCGCGTTAGATGAATTTGCCACCAGCGGCGGCACCTGTACACCCCAATTCTGGATTAGTAACTAGTACTCCAGCCGCTCCTAATGCGCTATTTTAATTTCCAGCCGAGATGTACACCAGGTATGTAGGACGTTTCCTGAGCAGATTCGTTTCCTATTAAATAACACATGTTTAATTAGATTCCTGTCTCATTTCCTCCAGTAGGACAATATAGTGTCCAGCCTAGATGGTTCTTCAAGCGAAATTCCTCAAAAGGCCGCGTTAATTGATTGCTGGCGCTCCAAGGTCCTAGCATGGATTTAAGTAGTGCTCTGATCCTACTCACGTGGTCGCTACTCCTAGTTGTACACAGCCATTCCTCGGTAATAGGATTGGTGCATATGGATGGAGTTAGGAATCTCCCCATCGCTTGTGGTGAACCGGGTTGCATTGAGAGGTTCTCATGTCCTAACGAGAGACTACTGCACCGCCGACAGAAAATACATACGTTTCCAGAGCAACCAGCAGGGCAACAAGCACCTAGCTTCCGCGATCTAGAGGCTTTACAGGAGGTAATAGAGCAGACAACAGCTGATCGTCGCACCAAGCATAGAGCTAGTGTGCCTAATGAAGGGGACTGTATTCCCGATGGACCATGTCCTTCGAGAGATTCACGCCCCAACATGGACGCGAGTGGATGCGGCGTGGCGCACGAGAAGAACCCGAAGAAAACGTCCACAGATAAGCGCTTTTTTGTATTCTGCAAAAAAACAGCAGGAGGCATGGGGTTATCTTGGCCAGAAATTGCAGAGCTGGTAGATATTATGAAGAGCAGTCAGTTAGATCCTTGCACTTTCGAATCATTGGCGGACGTTGACCGTTTTGAGGAGAAGGAAGCTGGTGGTGTGGTGATGGAGAATTTCAGGGATAGTGATCTAGCATCTCCCTCAGATCGGAAGCCGATCATTCTGCGATGGCGTTCCTTGTGGTCTTGCGCCAAGAATTTATACAGCAATCCTGCAAATGCAGTAGACTTTATTGCGCACCCTCAACCATTAGTTGCAGAAGCGGATAGGGTGTACCGAGATCCTGATAGTGGTACCTGGTGGTGGTTTGCACAGCAAGATCTGCCGGAGGGTGCATCTGTTGTAGCTCTAATTGTGTACTCTGATGAAACCAACCTCTCGAAAGATGGATCAGTCACCGGTTGGCCAGTGTACGTGTCGCTGGCCAACATTTCATCTGGAAATCGCTGGAAACCACATGGAAGGCGCCTTGTAGCTCTGCTACCGAAGGTGACTGAAGACATGCTTGCCCCTGGTAGCTGCATCGTCCGAAGATGCATGGAGATCTTTCAACAGGCTCTGGACATGATTATGGGAGACTGCATGGCAGCTGCAGACAATGGAGAACCAGTGCTTGACCCATACGGCATTCGACGTATGGCATATCCATTGTTGTATGCATATGTTGGAGACTACCCGGAACAGTGCAAGGTTGCAGGAACCAAGTCTGGACACTCAACCAATTTTCCCTGCCCTCGCTGCATGGTGCACCGGAAGCAGCTGGCTAAGACAGAAATGCGGGCACAGCGAACGGTGGCAGCACAGAAGCACACATGGATGGAAATGGGGTGCCTTCGTCAACCTACTGATCTCCTGAGGCTGGAAACAGCCAACAGTCAACACCATGTGCAGGTGAGTTACGGGTGGGGATGGAAGGGGGGAAAGGGGTGAAGGGATGCGAGGAGAGGGAAGGTGGGACGGGCAGAGAGGGATGAAGGAATGGGCAGAATGATATGAAGGAATGGGCACAGAGGGATGAAGGAATGTGCAGAGAGGGATGAAGGAATGTGCAGAGAGGGATGAAGGAATGTGCAGAGAGGGATGAAGGAATGGGCACAGAGGGATGAAGGTATGGGCAGAGAGGGATGAAGGAATGGGCAGAGAGGGATGAAGGTATGGGCAGAGAGGGATGAAGGTATGGGCAGAGAGGGATGAAGGTATGGGCAGAGAGGGATGAACGAATGGGCAGAGAGGGATGAACGAATGGGCAGAGAGGGATGAAGGTATGGGCAGAGAGGGATGAAGGGATGGGCAGAGAGGGATGAAGGAATGGGCAGAGAGGGATGAAGGTATGGGCAGAGAGGGATGTAGGAATGGGCAGAGAGGGATGAAGGAATGGGCAGAGAGGGATGAAGGTATGGGCAGAGAGGGATGAAGGTATGGGCAGAGAGGGATGAAGGTATGGGCAGAGAGGGATGAAGGTATGGGCAGAGAGGGATGAAGGAATGGGCAGAGAGGGATGAAGGAATGGGCAGAGAGGGATGCAGGTATGGGCAGAGAGGGATGAAGGTATGGGCAGAGAGGGATGAAGGGATGGGCAGAGAGGGATGAAGGGATGGGCAGAGAGGGATGAACGAATGGGCAGAGAGGGATGTCGGAATGGGCAGAGAGGGATGTAGGAATGGGCAGAGAGGGATGTAGGAATGGGCAGAGAGGGATGAACGAATGGGCAGAGAGGGATGAAGGAATGTGCAGAGAGGGATGAAGGAATGGGCAGAGAGGGATGAAGGGATGGGCAGAGAGGGATGAAGGAATGTGCAGAGAGGGATGTAGAAATGGGCAGAGAGGGGTGAAGGGATGGGCAGAGAGGGATGAAGGGATGGGCAGAGAGGGATGAAGGTATGGGCAGAGAATGCTGTTTCTTGTTGGATTTCAGACATGGGGGATTTGGTGGGTACAAGAATGAGAGTGCCATTACTTTTATACTTCCTGTAATTCCCCCAAACAGGTGTGGCTGTGGAGATTTCCACAAGGAAACACCAATTGGGGTAACTATTACCGCGCTTTGATGTGCGACGTGATGCACATGTCCCCACTTGGAGTGTTTAAACACATGGTAGATTCTCTCCGAAACATCCTCAAGGGGGGCAGGGGGGAAGTTGACAAGCGGCCACTGTTCGATGATGCACTTTGTCGCATCACTGAGTACAGTAGACAATCGTTCTTCCGCCTACCAGGGAAGGGGAAGAGGTATTTCGCAAATGTTGGCACATTTTATGCATTCGAACATCAAGCAGTGATGCAGGTTCTGCCTGTGCTCATTCAACAGATGGGGGCAAAAAAGGAGCTGGTAGAGACTGTTTCGATGTATGTCTACTGGCACTCGGAGGTGTGGCTGCGACCCTATCATACAGAGGCGACGTTGATACACCTCGCGTCCCTCACAGGATTGTAAGAGCACACTTGTGATGTCATTATTATTTAGGCATCATTAACTTTAAGTCTACTAGACTCCGATGTGCATCCCACCACTCCTCTTTCCATCACTTTCATACCACGTACAAGCCCAAGGGTCCGATCATTGCAAACTTATGATCGTGTTCTTTGCAATAAGGTTCCATGGCATTTCCCTATATTGCTCCCACCCCAGGCTGATCCCTCTCCTTATTACGCACTTTGGAGCCGGACAAAAGTCAGAGTTCATGATTCCAAAAGTGCACGCGATGGTGCATGTTCCAGAGGATATCCGTCGTGGCGGTTTGCCAGTACACTACTGCACTGATTTTTACGAGCATCTTCACATCTCCATGATGAAGAGACCATATCGTGGGAGCAACAAGAAGAATTATGAGGAGCACATCACACGTCGTGCTCTGGTTGGCGAGCTCGTAGATGCAATAACTAGGGACGATGAGGACAAGGAGGATGCGGAAGTTCGAGCTGTAGCTCTACGTGTGGTGAGTTTGCCAATGGCTGTCCTCTCTGCCCATCCCTTTTTCCCTCTCATCCCATCCTCTTATTATTCGGCCAGGTGCGTCCCTTCATCCCTCTGATCCCGTCCCTTATCCCCACCATCCCCATCCCTTCATCCCTCTGATCCCATCCTCTTATCCCCATCATCCCCATCCCTTCATCCCTCTCATCCCATCCCTTGCTCCCTCTGATCCCGTCCCTTCATCCCTCTGATCCCGTCCCTTATCCCCACCATCCCCATCCCTTCATCCCTCTCATCCCGTCCATTCATCCCTCTGATCCCGTCCCTTGCTCCCTCTGATCCCATCCTCTTATCCCCACCATCCCCATCCCTTCATCCCTCTGATCCCATCCCTTGCTCCCTCTGATCCCGTCCCTTCATCCCTCTGATCCAATCCTCTTATCCCCACCATCCCCATCCCTTCATCCCTCTGATCCCGTCCCTTATCCCCACCATCCCCATCCCTTCATCCCTCTGATCCCATCCTCTTATCCCCACCATCCCCATCCCTTCATCCCTCTGATCCGTCAGCAGTGCGACGAGGCCGCCATGGCAGTGGTGGTGAGCAACTGACACGAGCAAGCGGCAGCGACCTGGGTAGGCGTAGGCACCTGGGGGGACGCCATCACCAAGGGGGACACGGTGTTGAGCGTAAACAGGGGGCACCTGTGGCGGCCTCGGTACAGACCGTGTACCGTTCGTGGCCAGGGAAAGTAGTGGTAACGCTGAGATCCTGAAGACAGCCGACACCAACTAGGTTCCTGGAGAATGAGGGGATGTGCAGGCCTGTAAGGGAGCCCGAGAGAAATGCCGGACATGGAAGCGTAGTGGAGCTACGGGCAACTACCAGACCTGAGGAGGGGTCAGCAAGCGCGATAGTGGCAGGAGCGGCAAGCGGCGTGAGCACAGTGTGGTCGAGGAAGAAGTAGGCAGACGCACCAAAGTCAAGCGTGAACGAGAGCGAAGCAGTAGCGGCAGCCGGCGGAGGGGCTAGTGTGGAGCCTAGGCTAAACAAGGCAGAAGGTCCTACGCCTGACGTACAGTAGCAGAAGAGCCTAGACGACACACAGGAGGCACACCTAGACTAGGCAACACAGGGTAATAAGGTCCGATCACATTAGAGTCATCATGCATGGCATGTAAGGCAGAGCAAAGCTGATGCATTTCCATCACAAAGATAGGCACACGGCGACGCACTAGTCTGGGCGAGTCAGGAAGGGCCGGCGCAGGGCCGAAGCGGAGATGGAGGAGACCGTCGAGGTGGCAGAAGCAACGGGCGGTAGAGTGACTGGTACGACCACACACAGTGCCGTGGAAGGGGCCGGTCTGAAGCTGGTACTAGCAACCCACAATGCCGAAGCTCCCACCCGACGCCGAGCTGCGAGGGCCGCCACCACGGCCACCACCACCACCAGAGGCATCGGGCCACCCCGGCGGGAGGTGGCCCCACTACTGCTGCTGCTGCTGCTGAGGCCGCTTCTGCTGCTGCTACTCCGGGGCACCAAGCCCAGTCCCCTCGTCGGAACCACCATCACCCCCCCTCCCACTCCCACCACCTGCACCCCCACCACCCCCACCACCCTTCCCGCCGCCACGCCCCCCCTTGGGGCAGCGGCCCCTACCCTGACACTGCTGCACTAAGGCCGCAGCAGCAGTCTCAGCTGCAGAGGCTGTCTCGGCGACAGCAGCAGAGACGTCAGAGTAAGTGCACTGGGAGGGAGCACAGCCCTTAAATATGGGGACCACCGCAGTACTGCTACATTGAGCGATAGTGCGCTGGCGGGTCTCTATCTCGGATAGGGTGGTGACAAAGGCAGTAAGGGTGAGGTCACCTAGGTGCTGACTAAGGAAGTGATCGCGGACAGTGGCTAGGCGGTGTGGAAGGCGCATGGCAATGAGGTAGAGGGTAGCGCAAAGCGGCAGCGGAAAAGCAGTGAGCTGAGCCTCAGTGCTAGCAGCGCGGTAGCTAGTCTCAAGTACGCAGAGGTGAGTGGCAAGATCGGCGACAGTGGGGAAGGACGCAAGATGAGGGAACAGCATGGGGAGGATCACGCAGCCAGCAGAGGCAAAGGCGGGGATAGAATTGAACCCGAGTCACCAACGCTCTGTTACCATGTCAGAAAATCAGCCACTAACCACTGATTTAGAAGGGCTTGTTATTAGCGGGTCAGTGCGCCCATAGTCCCCCAGGCTCTGCACCTGTGGCCCTTCCCCGAGGATCTTCTCAAGGGTAACCCCAGAGGGTCTCTCGACAATTCCAACCCCACATTCAATTATATTATGTTCAAAGAATCCTAGACATTGTCCTACTAGTTTTAGGCTCCTAACACACAGCAACACATTGCCATGCTCTTGCCAGAGGCACAAGAGTGCATGCACGCTGCAAGCTCGTATACCGTGCTGAGGCCAGTTGTGGCACCTCAAAAGTGTTGAAGGTATATGACGAGAGACCCGCTGGGGTTACCCTTAAGAAGATCCTTGAGGAAGGGGCATAGTGTCAAATTATATGTTATATTATATTATATATATATATATATATATTTGTTTAGGCTTGGTAGGTGTGCTACTTTACCGGATCCTAGTGTACAGGGGACAACCCCCCCTTCTTGCATCTCTCTCTCTTTCCTAGTGTACTCTTTCTCTCGTAACTCTTCCCCCCTAGCTAAACCTCTCGACACTTTTCTCATGGCTACCTAGCTAGCTCCTAAACGCCCATTCAACATGGTATCAGAGCAGGCCCTTCTGCTCGGGCCTTCACCTCACGCTTCCGCAGCGTACTCTCCTCCCTCCTATCACTTCCACGGCATTGTGGCAGCCATGTCATGCTGCCATGTCGGCTTCGTCGTGCTGCCGTGGCAGCCTCGGCGCCCTCCCGTGGCGTCAATACCACGCCGTGGCGGCGTCGTTGTGCTGCTGTGGCGGCGTCGACATGCTGTCGTGGCAACAACGCCACGACGTGGCGGCGTCGACGTGCTGCCGTGGCGTCGTCGACGTGCCAGCGCACAGATGGCAGCGGCCAGCGCCTGGTTTCAGGCGTCAGCCGTACGCCCCCATGACAGCCAGCAAGCCAGCCAGGGTGCCTTGCTGGAGCACACCCCCCCTCCCCCCTGCGTCTCCCCTTACTCCAGCCGCAGCTGCTACCTCAATACCCGGTCGTCGCCGGGTCGTGCCACGCCGCCGGGTGCCGCGAGCTTCGCAGTCGCCACCGCCGCCGATGCAGGTGCAGCTGGCTCCGCCGCCACCCGCTCTGCCGCCGCTGCTGTCATCGTAGAAGCCACCGTTGTTGCCACCCGCCAGGGATGTCACCACTTTGCATGAGGGGTAGAAGTCACCCCTGCTGTAGGACATGGGGGTTCAAGGGTTTGGGGGTGTTTCGTGTTGGGTGGGCTTACGACTACCAAGCCTAGGGGGTGTGACAAATCATATATTTTATAAATATATTTGTTTAGGCTTGGTAGGTGTGCTACTTTACTGGATCCTACGGTAGAGGAGACAATCCCCCCGTCTTGTATTTCTCTCTCTTTCCTAGTGTACTCTTTCTCTCATAACTCTTCCCCTCTAGCTAAACCTCTCGACACTTTTCTCATGGCTACCTAGCTAGCTCCTAAACGCCCTTTCAATACACAGGTGCAGAGCCTGGGGGGCTATGGGCGCACTTACCCGCTATTAACAAGCCCTTTTAACTCAGTGGTTAGTGACTGAGTTCTGACAGTATACTCGACAGAGTTTACTTATGCATTCCTGATGTAACAATTAGACTATACTAGTAGCGCGACACCTTATATGGAAGGACGCGCGTGATGACGACAGCAGTAGCGTGTCAACACGTGAACAGTAGGTCCACGTGTTTAGTCACCCGAAGGGTCACGCCACTCTCAGTCACACGAACAGTCACTAGTCATGTCATATGAATAGTCGCGATACACTACAGAAAGGTACAT